TCTCTCTCTCTCTCACACACAGCAGAGGCACAAGGTCTGTGCCATGGAGGTCTGTGGAACCACACCCCATGCTCTGTGCACAAGATGCCTAATGGTGTTCAGAGACACAGGACTCTATTTTTCTTTATCCCTAAGTCATTTAAAACTAAGACACACCCTTCAGGATGCTTTTCCTGACACTCAAGTACATAGTAATAGTGCAATGATTAAAATTAGGACATTTAACACTATATTCTTCTGAACGACTCTGTTTTACCTATAGTGATATGAACCATATATTGCCCTTTGCCTTCAAGAATCTCAGGATCCATTAATCTGGAAGAATCTCAGCCTTTGCCTCTTATGACACTAACATTTTTGAAGCGTACAAGTCAGCTGTTTTACAGAACGTCTTCACTGGGGTTCTCCTGACGTCATGCCATGAAAAAAAAAATACCACTGAAACTGGTGCCATGTCCTTTTTTACTATATCATACCAGAGTGGCCTTTATCAGGTAAGTCCCATTACCGGCAAGATTAACCTTATCACTTGGTTAAGGTGACATGTCTCTTTTGTAAAGTTACCATTTCTCAGTGTTGTCAATAAATAACCTTTACTGACCCTTCAGTAGAGACTCTTTAAACAGTGCTCACATTCTATTTCTCAAAAAACTTTCACTCACTACTTTAGCATCTAACTGATGACTGCTATTACCATGATGGCTGTGAAATGATCATCTCAGATCTACAATCTGTCTCACTTTGATTATTCAAACAGTCCCAGACACAGAAGGTAGAAAACCTTCAAGCTGGGGCTGGAGCAATAGCACAGCAGGTAGGACATTTGCCTTGCACGCGGCGGACCTGGGTTCAATTCCCAGCATCCCATATGGCCCCCTGAGCACTGCCAGGAGTAATTCCTGAGTGCAGAGCCAGGAGTAACCCCTGTGCATTGCCGGGTGTGACTCAAAAACCAAAAAAGAAAAAGAAAAAGAAAAAGAAAACCTTCAAGCTGCTTCCACGGCCTTGGACAGGCCTACCAGATGAGCACTTCCAGCTTTCTCATACAAAATGGTCCTCTCACACTATCCCTGTACCAGCCAGTCAGAAAGAAATCATTCATATCTGTTACATCAACAGATCTGGGGGGGGTTTTGTTTGTTTTTTGTTTTTTGTTTTTTTTTGCTTTGTTTTTGTGCCACACGTAGCTGTGCTCAGAGTTTAATCCTGGTTCTACATTTAAGGATACCTGTTCCTGGTGAGACTTAGGAAAGCATTTAGAGTCCTGGAGATTGAACTCAGGCCAGATGCATGCAAAGAAAGCAACCTACACTCTGTACTATCTGTCCAGCCCCAGCAGATGGTGTTTTAGAAACCAAAATTTGGTTTCAGAGTATACTTATTACTAAGGGGTATCACCGCTCTTAGGCTCTTAGAGCAAAAAGAGCTAACAGGTATCAAATATTTTTCAAAGTAAAAGGTAAAAGGTAAAGGCCCTCCCGTTGATCGTCGATTTGCTCGAGCAGGCCCAGTAACGTCTCCATTGGAGACTTTGTTGTTACTGTGTTTGGCATATCGAATACTCTCGGTAGCTTGCCGGGCTCTCCGAGAGGGGCAGAGGAATCGAACTCGGGTCGGCCATGTTGGCCGCTTGTAAGGCGAACGCCCTACTGCTGTGCTAGAGGCCAGAGTATAGGAGAAAAGGTGCCTGCCTCGCAGGCAACCAATTCTGATTTGATCCCTGGCACTGCATAAGGTCCCCCGAGCACTGTCAGGAGTGAACACTAAGTACCACCAGGGGTGTCCCAAAATGCCTCCTACATTTTGCCCAAAATTATATCTAACTTCAATACAATATACTTTTCATTACAACATTTAGGCAATGCATATGTGAAAGAAAATTTTCCCAAAATAACTATTCAATGCAGAGTACTTAATTACTGGTTAATTTCTACTTTCAAACTTTGTATAATTTTTTCTACCAAAGTAAGGTAAGGTTGTCATATGAATTTTTCAAGTTTATAAGAAATAAACACCTGAAACTCATTTAAGAGGTTGGGGATGTGGTTCAGTGGCAGAGCGTTGGGGCTTGAAGACTCTGGGTTGGATTCCCAGCACTGCAGCTAAAAATAAATAAATAAACTCAATTTAAAGCTCCGAAGTCGCAGAAGAAACTCTTTCCCAAAGATTTTAACAAAATCCAGGAATCATCTCCCTAAAACTTCATAACACTGAAAACTAATAAAAATCAATATTTTCTTTAAAAAAAGGTGAAATTCCTTTTAAAAATTAACTTTTTTTTTTACATATAAGAGAACGTAGAAACTTTAAGCCACTTTTCTTCAATATTTCAAAAAATACTAAAAATGTGGGCTGGAGCGATAGCACAGCGGTAGGGCGTTCGCCTTACAAGCGGCCAACATGGCCGACCCGAGTTCGATTCCTCCGCCCCTCTCGGAGAGCCCGGCAAGCTACCGAGAGTATTCGATATGCCAGACACAGTAACAACAAAGTCTCCAATGGAGACGTTACTGGGCCCGCTCGAGCAAATCGACGATCAACGGGAGGGCCTTTACCTTTACCTTACCTTACTAAAAATGTAAGTAGGAAGAGCAGGAGAGAACTACTGCGTGAACATACTAACTCCTTTGTCAGGAAACTCCCAGAACCAGTGGAAGCCCCACCCTGAGGATGGGGGTCCCTCTGTGAATTCCTCGGCTGATCTAGTGCGGCTGACAGACAATAAACACTGCAAGTGGGACAGAAAATCACCTCACGCTTTTGAGGTTTTGAAGTTTTCTTTCTCTAAACTATGTTTCTCAGGTCACTCAATCTTATCACAGACCCTCCTAAAGTAATCATGTAACTAAATCTCTATTCTTAGACCACGGCTAGGAGCCCCCCCAAACATGCCTCACCTTTGACTTCACTGAGAAGCTCTTCCATCTTTCTTTTCACTTACCTGCTGCTTTTTCCTAAGTCCACTTTATTCCTGAGCCTAGGCAGATCTCACGGTACATCCACTCAGCGACGCTCTGCAGCCTAATTAGTCTTCTCCCTTCAGCCAATCCTCGGAAAACTCGGACACCGCAATGTGTGAGTCTGACCTAAGAACTCCCCCCACAGCTTGAGAAATGTAAAGCACTCACACCCCTAAGTTTCAGTCTGAAAAGTTCTCAAATATCTTGCCTATAAAAACATCTTTTTTCCCCCCAAAATTCAAACTTTAAAAGTTTTCCTCCCAGGGCTGGAGAGATAGCACAGCGGGTAGGGCATTTGCCTTGCACGCGGCCGACCCGGGTTTGATTCCCAGCATCCCATATGGTCCCCTGAGCACCGCCAGGAGTAACTCCTGAGTGCAGAGCCAGGAGTAACCCCTGTGCATCACCAGGTGTGACCCAAAAAGAAAAAAAAAATTTTTCCTCCCATCTATGCAATTCACTACACTCTGGATATACAACTCACTGCACTCTGAGTGTTATCCTAAAGTTTCCCTCTTGTTCACCAAAAGATTAACTCCATAATTCTCTTTTGGATTTTTTTTTAAATTTTTACTAGTGAAACACCATGAGGTACAGTTGTAGACTTACAAATTTTTGTGCTTGGGTTTCAGATGAGTACCCATCCCTCCACCAGTGCCCTTCTCCACGAGCAATGATCCCAGTATCCCTCCCACCCCCCACCCCCACCTCTGTGGCAGGGCATTCCCTTTTGTTCTCTCTCTCCTTTTGGGTGCTGTGGTTTGCAAAAGAGGCATTGAGTGGCAATCCTGTTTAGTCTATAGTCTACTTTCAGCATGCATCTCCTATCCTGGGAGGATTCTCCCAACACCCTTTACTTGGTGCTCCCTTCTCTATCTGAGCTGCCTTTTCCCCCAGCATGTGCGGCTGGCCTTCTTTTGAAGTTTTTTTTATTTGTTGTTTTGGGGGTCATACCCTGCGATGCTCAGGACTCAGGACTCTGCACTCAGGAATCACTCCTGTTGGTATTCAGGGGACCACATGGGATGCCGGGAACTGAACCCAGGTTGGATGCATAGGAGGCAAGCACCTTAGCGAGTTGTACTATAGTGCCAGCTCCAACTCCATGACAAATTCTTCCTGTACTCTAATGGTTTGCGTTCAGCACATGTTTGTTTCAAATGGACCACTGCAGTAAGGCCCGGATTGATCCGTCTTTCCTAGCCCCTCCGTTAAGCTCTGCCTCTCGGAACGGTGCTACCCGGACACTCTATGAAACCTGGACTGAATCACTGGTCTCCCGGGGCTTCTCAGTGTCTAAAAAGCCTTGATGAAACAGAGTCCTCTGTCATCTGATTCCTATCATCCTACAGTAGAAATCTTCTTTCCCCTTGAGCCAGCCATACTTTTTTGTGTAAGCTTTGGTTTTCATGAGCAGTACATGAGATTCTGAGAACAGGGTCAGAGAGATAGAGCTAGAGATAGAGAGAGAGCGAGAGAGAGAGACAGCGAGAGAGAGAGAGAGAGAGAGAGAGCGCACAGGGGTTAAGGGCCTTGCTTGAACTGGTAGACTCCAGTTCAACCCAAGCACCACCAGGAGTAAGCCCTGAGCATTCCTGAGTATGGAAAAAAAAAAAAAGAATTTCTGAGCAATGCTATTAACCACACTTGTGTGTGCTCATATGCTGGGGTCCCCACATTCTCCCTCCAACTCAGTTTATTCTCATTCACTGTCAAGAGCTAACTCCAAAATCTTTCTCTTCACAGCCTCATACAGTAATTAACCTTCATAGCCCCATACCAGTGGCTGACCAGTCCAATGATGACACCATTTCACCTACATTATGTGTCCACGTTACCACTTATCATTTCAATATAATTGATGACATGTCTGTCTCCCATTGTGACCCTCTTGAAGCCAAAGAATACTCTTTAATTCATCATTAATTATACCTTCTATAGCTGTCATTTCAACAGGTGTTCAATAAGAAATGATGAATAAATTAAATTTGAAAGTAGAATACTGACTGAGGTCGTCAGTTCACACAAACATGCTCCTACCTGGTAACTAACTGTTTTCTTTCCATCACTCCCAGTCTGCGGTAAAGTCAATGGTCCAGATACTATCCAAACATCTTCAAACCTCTCTGTCAGTTCTCGACAGTACATTTCCATTCTGAAAAACAAAACATAAGCAACGCATAATACTCTCAGACGTAAGAGTAGAAAAGCAAACTAAATCACAAAAATATAGAATCTGAAAAATAAAACAATGCATAAATATTCTCAGACATAAGAGTAGAAAAGCAAACTATAAAAATTTCTGTATTGTAGGCTGGAGTTATAGCACAACGGGTAGGGTGTTTGCCTTGCACGCGGCCGACCCAAGTTTGATTCCCAGCATCCCACATGGTCCCCTGAGCACTGCTAGGGTGAATTCCTGAGTGCAGAACCAGGAGTAACCCCTGTGCATTGCCGGGTGTGACCCCCCAAAAAAAAGAAAAAAAATTCTGTATCATAAGATGACAGACTCTGGGAAATCAATGTAGACAAAAAAAACCAGCACATTACAATCATATAAACAATGACTTCCCCAGTTTACTGTACAAAAATATAACTTAAAAAATCACAAAGAGAAACTATTTTGTTCTCACTCTTCAACAACATAAATTCTCAAGCCTTTTCTAAGAATTATGTATCAACACAATGATAAGCTTTATTTACAGTTCCTAATGAAGGACAATTAAACCTATTCTTTGGGAGCAGGATGGCATGGGAAATGTTGGATCAAATCGTAGAATGCCCAGGACTTTTTCCTGGCTCTAAACTTAGGAATTACTCCGGAAGGTGCTCAGGGGACTGTATCGGTGGCAGCAAACAAAACCAGATAACATAACATTTATTCGTGAGACATTATATTAATGTCTTAGGACAAATCTGAAGAACGAGAATTACTTTAAAAAATATTTTAATAGGGCTAGAGTGATAGTGCAGCCAGTAGGGTGTTTGCCTTACATGTGGCCGACCCAGCTGTGATCTCATATGCTCCACCAGGAGTAATTCCTGAGCACAGAACCAGGAGTAACCCCTGAGTATTTCCAAGTTTGATGCAAAAGGGAAAAAAAAAGTATTTTAATGATGCTGGGTTATAGTTAAAACTAATCTTTTTTTTTTTTTTCCCCTTTATTTTATTTTATTTTTTTTAAAGTTGTAGATTTACAATTTTTTGTGCTTTGGTTTCAATTATACAATGATCAGATACCCATCCCTCCACCAGTGCCCATTTTCCACCACCATGGATAATATCCCTCCCACCCCCATCCCCCCATCCCCCCGTCTCTGTGGCAGGGCAATCCCCTGTGTTCTCTCTCTCCTTTTGGGTGTTGTGGTCTGCAAAAGAGGCATTGAGTGGCAAACATGTTCAGTCCATAGTCTACTTTCGACATGCATCTCCCCTCCTGGGAGGATCCTCCAAACATCCTTTATTTGGTGCTCCCTTCTCTATCTGAATAGCCCTTTCCTCTAGGATACCCGGCTGGCCACTAAAAGTTATGGAGTAATCCTCCTGGTGCTGATCTCAGCTATTCTTGGGTATTAATCTCATACTTTGTTACTTTATATCGCCCAGATGAATGCAATCTTTCTATGTCTATCCCTCTCTTTCTGACTCATTTCGCTTAGCATGATACTTTCCATATTGTACCACTTGTATGTAAATTTCATGACTTCATCTTTTCTAAGAGCTACATAGTACTCCATTGTGTAGATGTACCAAAGTTTCTTTAACCAGTCATCTGTTCTTGGGCATTCAGGTTTCTTCCTAAAACTAATCTTTTTAACGGTAATATACCAACTTATTCTAGAAAAGCTACAAATGAGAGTAGGTTCACAACAATATTTACAACACTAAGATTTACTGCTTACAAAACTAATTTACTAATTTACTGGATAAAAACGGCAAATAGCGGAGTTGGAGAAATACTACAGGGACCAAGACACATGGCATGCACATGGCCAGACCCAGTTTGATCCACGTTATTACACATGGTGCCCCAAGCCCTGACAAGAGTGAGCCCTGGGAACAAAGTCAGGAGTAAGCCCTTATCTTCTAAAATAAATAAATCAATGGGAGCTGGAGAGCTGGTATAGTGGGCAAGGTACTTTCCTTGCACACAACCAACCTGGGTTCAATCTCCAGTCTCCCATATAATCCCAAGTCCTGCCAGAAGTGATCCCCTGAACACAGAGCCAGGAGTGGGTCCTGAGCACCGCCAGGTGTGGCCCCAAAACCAAAATAAGTAAATATATATAAAGATATTTCTGAATAAAATGCCTGTTTAAACAATGAGCAAATAAGACAAATGCGGCTGTACAGGGTAACTCTTGGTTTTCTTTAGTGCTCCTCTAATTATTTTAAACCAAGTTCTACTTGGAGAAAACTACAATCAGCCTGAAACAACTTCAAACAGCACTACTAATTTTAGACGTTTAAAGAGATGCCCTAGGAGAACTGATTAAATATGTTTGAAAGTGGGACTGGAGAGTTACAGGGGTTTAGGCACGTACCTTGCATTTGGGGCCTTGGTCAATCCCTGCACCACATATGGTTCCCCAGGCACTGCCAGGGGTCATTCCTGAGCACAGAACCAGAAATAGTCTCTTGAGTACAACCAGGAGTGGCCCAAATTCCTATCAGCACCCAAAATAAGTGTCAAAAAGTACCGAAAGCTCAGATGTAGGTACTATCAGGGCTTTGCTCACAGGTTTACGTGTACCAAGACTCTGAAAAGCTCAGGAACTTTTGAAACACAAATATAGAAAAATATGTCCTTTAGACTTATTTCAAAAGATTTCCACTAGCCCAGTTAACATAAATAATAGCTGGAGTAGCTTCTACTAATCAGTGGCAAACATGATCTACGAATGAGTAAGTATGTCTTGAAGTCTGTATTCCAGAGGACTGTATTCCTGAAATACCAGAGACAGTCCCTTGCACTGACCGTCAGGAAGGCCCAAGTACTTCCACAGTATTAGCTTTGAGAGAAAAAGTTCAGAGACACACCAGCACCTTCTCTTATCACATCAATAATCTTCCACAGAACCACGTCTAAAATTCTCTCACCCCTCACCTGTTCCAGTAGCCAGCATTATTCTCAAAATTCTGAGGCACGATATTAGAAAGGTAAAAAGTTTCAGCCATGGCTTTCTGTGAAAAGAAAAACAGAGTAACTACAAATGAAATGCCTTCCTCTTTGAGAGATTTTTCAAAACTGAAAAGCAGTTCCTTATTCATAGGTTACCGCTGAGCAATTATAATTCCTATTTGTTAGAATGACACGATTCCAGAAAAGCCCAATAAAGATTACTCAAAATAAAACTAAAAATTAAATGAATAGTTTAGTGTACTACCTTTCTGAATGATTTATAAAATTCAAACCTGGACTGCAGATTCCAAGAGCTAAGTTTTCAAGACAAAAGTAAAGGGCTAATTCTGATTTTTAAGCCTGCAGCAAAAAAGGATCTCAATAAAGGTCAACTCTTAGGGATTTTAAGTACAAACTTATTAGTTTAAAACTAGCAGAGAAATTTTGTCTACTCAGAATTTCTGGTTATCTATTTGGTTAACTAATTATTCATTTAGTTCATTATTATTCATTATTTAGTTCATTAATTATTCATGGCGCTGGAGCGATAGCACAGCGGGTAGGGCATTTGCCTTGCACGCAGCCAACATGGCCGACCAGAGTTCGATTCCTCCGCCCCTCTCGGAGAGCCCGGCAAGCTACCGAGAGTATTCGATATGCCAGACACAGTAACAACAAAGTCTCCAATGGAGACGTTACTGGGCTCGCTCGAGCAATTATTCATTTCATACATAAATTCAAGGTCCTATTTGACTTCATTTCTTCCACTGATCTATGCTAGAGACCAATGTTCACAGTTACCTTCTCTTCAAATTGTGGCTTTCAACCTGTGATGCACTTGGGATGACCCATGTAATTCTGGAAAACAACGATCTCTAAATCCCGTCTCTGAGTTTCTAATGTAACTGATCTGGAGTAGGCATCAAAATTTCTTTTGAACCTTAAGGAGTACCCAAATGAGTACCCAAAGCTGATAACCACTAACTTAATGATAATCACCAATAGTTCATACAGTAAGTGTCAGGATCATTAAAAAAAAAATTCTCCTCTGTTATGACAGAGAAATTATTCTGAATTTAGAGATGAGGAACATGACAGCTAATGGTAATGTGTGATTCATAATTGAACATTAGGTTTAAAAAACTTTAAGATAAACAATTAGGGCAATCTGGAAAACCTGAATGAATTTTATGAGTGCTACTATTCAAATATATAAAAATACATTTGCAAATACTTTGGGCTGTTTCTTTTCAATCTAGTTAGGAATGAAATGTAATGGTGTTTGGAATTTTACTATCTATGGCTAAAAATTATTTATAAGTCTATACAATACACTATATTTACTGTGCATGTAGATATACACAAGCAAATGTAGCAAAAATGTATTTGCTGTGGTATGTTTTCAACCTTTCTAAAGGACTGAAATTTTTCAAACAAAGAATAAGTAACTTCAGTCCCAAGTTTGGCTTTTCAATTCCTTTTACAGAGCATATAGCTTTATTCATTCAACCTTGTTCAAACTGTCTCAGCATGGAGCCAGAAAGATAGTACAGTGCCTGGGGCACTTGCCTTGCACGTGGCCAGCCCGAGTTCAATGCCCGGCATCTCATATGGTTTCCCAAGCACCAACAGAACCAGAGTAAACCCAGTGAATCACTGGGTGTGCCCCAAAAACAAACAGAAAAAAAAAGTCGCAGCATCTGAGCCAAATTTTAAAAAAAAATTAATACGAGGAAAGAAAATATTAAAACACAAGGAAATCCTCAAGTTCTATAAGGTGCAGCTCCTTTTGAATTGCCAACTTCTTTAACACAATAAAATACCACCCTCCCCCCACTCCCATTCATCCCTCAAAAATATGCCTACAGATGAGAATTTATTATTTCCAGCTGGAGCCATATGTCCTCGTGACCAACCACTTCCAATATAGTCCTCATTGATCGCACTGAAGGTCGGAGAGATGTTGGGATCAGGCTTGAATTTACAATGTTTTCTGTCTGCATTACCTGGGAGGGACAGGGGAGAATGACAAAAAAAATGGGTTATCAGTGGACAAATATCCATCAAGATTCTTTAAGCAAGACGGGCTGCTTGCAGCTGACGTATTTCAGAGCAGCCAGCACTCGGTAACTGCACGCCTATCTCAAGTTCCCGGCATAGCTCAGATACTTCATCTGAATTTGGCACAGGCTGGCCTAGAGAAGCATCCTTTCACACAGTGCAGTCATCTTTGCATACTTTTGTTTCAAGTAAGTTAAGAATCCTCTGGGTAGTTAAAACAAAGACCAAACAAAATATCTGCCTGCATTAAAAGCTTTGTTGCTAAATAAACTCTTGATCTTTAAAAAGAACCCCTAGTTATCAGATCTTGTGTAAGTGTATTTGACAAGCTTATAAAACTAAAATAGGTGACTGTGTGTCACAAAACTCTGTGTGTGTATGTGTGTGTGTGTGTGTGTGAGAGAGAGAGAGAGAGAGAGAGAGAGAGAGAGAGAGGCAGAGAGGCAGACAGAGAGACAACATTATTTGTCCTGGACAGGACAGTTTGGAGGTGTGTATGTGTGTGTGTGTGGGGGGGGGGGGGGGTATCTGTGATATCTTACTTATTGTCTCTTACACAATAACAAAACCAACCTTGAGGTTATGAGCTCGATCTGGAAATTCCTGAAATGGGCCAGAGAGCACACTCAAGAGGCTCAAGGGCATGCTTTGCATGCAGGAGCAACTCCTGAGCACTGAGAAGGGAGTAGCCATTTAACACTGCCAGGTAAGGCACCCCACCACCCCCCAAAAAGTGGCCAAGAATATAGCTCAGTGGTAAAGCACTTGCCTTGCAAGTGTGAGATCTGAGGCCTTGGATCTGATCCCTGGTACCATAAACACATGCAAACACACACACTCACACACACACACACACACACACACACACACACACACACGTGTTTCCAGAGATTCCTGAATCAAAGTACTACATAGGAGAAAAGAAATCTCTATTTTTACTAACACTTTATATACCTCCAGAACAATCTGCCACAACTGTCATTAGCAAATGTTAACACTGTATTTTCTATTTGTCAATAAAAGTAATAATTCTTATTACCTTGTCAGTTATAACAATTCTGAAGATAAATGAAATACTGAAGTTACTCAAGTAATCTTAAGTAAACTCAACTACTCAAATACTCAAAGTAAAATGAAGAACTTGAGTAGTAAGTTCTTCTATATAGGAGTTGAGAAATATGTTACTATTTCCAACATCATTTTATTCAGAGAAATTTTTTAATTTCTGGATCCACAAGTTCAAAGTATTTCTAGAGGGTGGCAGGAGGGAAATGTACACTAGAACACAATCATGAAAGCTTTGTAAGTGTAGCTCACAGTGATTTAATTAAAAAAATAAAATAGATCAATTTATTTTTTAAAAAGTGAGTGGTCAACAAATTAGAACAACAACAACAAAAAAACCCTAACAAAAAAAAAAGTACATCAAGATTACCTCTAGGGTCAGGGATACACTTCAGTGCACATGTGAGATTCCAAGCACCATAAACATGCAATAATTACCATCCTTAAACGTAACAAATGGTGCTCCACAGAGGACAATACCTCATCACTTCATGAGGAAAATAAGTGGTAATACAGAAACATTATTAATAAAAAGAAACACTTCACTGGAATGGCTTCACTATATGCAGTTAGCTTTGGCGGGCACCCACTGCCTTTGAAAAACCACTTGTGACATTCTGAGAGGCCTAAACTAAAGAAGCCTTTCCTTCTCAGCACATCAACAGCCTTGAACCTCAGATTCATAGTGAATCCCAGAAGACAGCAGCTCGCCGGAGATCTCTCCAGACCCCATACCGAGCCAATTCCACTGGGGGAACCTTGAATGGAGCGGGTATCCCCTCTCCACCCACTCCAATGAACCACCGATGGCCACGAGCTTCCAGAAGAGAAACCCAGGTAGGCGGGATCTGGGACTAAGACTCCAGGCCACATGGAGGAAGCGGAGATGGGACATCCCTTCCTGTCTCCCCACCCTCTCGGGGGTCCCGGCTGCTACGCCCACAAACTGCCTCCTGGTGTCATCTCAGCGCATCAAGAGCCTTGATCCAGACTCCCAAATGAATCTCAAAATGGATTAGCTCCCTACAGAAATGTCTCTGGATCCCAACCATTTAGAATTTTAGAATTCCAGAAGCACGTGGCGGCAAAAGCGGCTGTGTGACCTCTCATGATATTCATAATAAGCAATAGAAAATAAATTAACTAGCCATCTGCCCCTGGCAGGCACTTGAATGGTGGTGTGAAAAATCGAAATAATGGTGGTGGGAAGGTATAATGGTGGTGGGATTGGTGTTGAAATATTGAATGTAATCAATGAATGTGAACAACCTTATGAAAATAACATTAAAAATTGTTTTTAAAAAATAAAGACACCTTGGGGCTGGAGTGATAGCATAGCGGATAAGGCGTAAGGCTTTTGCCTTACATGTGGCCAACCAGAGTTCAATTCCCAGCATCCCATATGGTCCCCCAAGCACCACCAGGACTAATTCCTGAGTGCATGAGCCAGGAGTAACCTCTGTGCATCGCCGGGTGTGACCCAAAAAGCAAAAAACCAAAACAAACAAAAAAATTAAAGATGCCTTTCCTTGCGTTAGGATGCAAATTTACTTCTCTCAGGTGTCTGAAAGTATTAGCATCAGAGAACCGTATTCAACCAAGCTCTGGGCGTCAGGATCTCCATCTACAGATCTCTAAGACAGCTAGTCTGCAGGCACAACTCCCCGAGACATGCCTCGCCTTTTCCAGCCTGACCCATCTCGGCACAGGGCTACTGTAACTTTCCATGGACTGGCAGTGGTGGGGCAGGCCAGTTCATTGTGACCCACTTTTCCCAGAGGGTGCGGTCCTCTGGGGGAGCAGGTTGGGGGGGGAGGGGAGGAGAGTCTTGAGAGTGTCTGAGCTCTAGCCTTCAGTAGTAACCATGTAAGGGTGAGGGGCTAAGACAACGATGCAGCTCTACCTCCGGATTCTGGCTTTCACCCAAATAGGAGCCTGGCCATTCTGCATTTTCATGTTGCTTCATTTTATTTATTTACTGAAAGAAAATTAGAGAGAGAGAGAAATGTGAGAGGAGAGAGAAAGAGGAACATGAGTTCAAGACAGAACACAGGTTTCTCCAGTAGGGAAAAAAATTACAGGATTGAAAGAGAAACATATGCGATCAAGAGAGAACATAGGCTTGAAAAAGCAAGGCAGCCACATGCTGGGTGATATTTTTTTTTCGGGGGGCCACACCTGGCAGTGCTCAGGGCTTACTCCTGGCTCTGCATACAGGGATTACTCCTGGCAGTGCTTGGGGAACTATGGGATGCCAAGGATTGAACCCAGGTCAGCTACATGCAAGGCCCTGCCCGCTATACTACCTCTCAAACCCCTGATGATTACTTCTATATACTCTTTATATACTGCTAATAAGTCCTAATTAAACTGGTATGGTTCAAGAAATTAGAAGAATATGGAAAGATATAGTACATAAACCCAATGAACTGAACCCCTCTCCAAGAATACTCTATCCAGCTAAATTGCCATTCAGATTTTTTTTTGTTTTATTTTTTGGGTCACACCCAACAATGCTCAGGGGTTACTCCTGGCTCTGTACTCAGGAATTACTCCTGGTGGTGCTCAGGGGACCATATGGGATGCCAGGGATCGAACCCGGGTCGGCTGTACGCAAGGCAAATGCCCTACCTACTGTGCTATCAAGCTGGCCCCTCACAGATTTGAAAGAACTATCCAGAGCTTCATGGATAGGAAACAGCTCGCAGAAATCACAGACTTGAAACCAACTCTGCAGGAAGCATTCAAAGAGAGGGAGAGAAGAGGAGAAGGGGGGAGAGAGAGAGAGAGCGAGTGAGCGAGTCTGCCTGCCACAGAGGTGGTGGAGGGTAGAAACTGGGCACACTGGTGGTGGAAATGTACACTGGAGAAGGGACAGGTATTAGAACATTATATGACTGAAACCTAACTATGAACAACTTTGTAACTGTGTATCTCACTGTGATTCAATAAAAACAACAAAAAAAATTTTTTTAAAAGAGCTCATTTGAAGGACAGGAGAAACTTCCCATTCATGTGATACTGAACACTCACTAATGGTATATATGGTCGTCCTCAACTACATTATAAAAGGTTAAAAACATACAGTAATTAATAGTCACAAACTGACTTTTATTTATTTATGTTCTAATAATTTTATTTGCCATTCTTTTAAGTTTTTTGGACAAAGTAATATGAAATAAATTTGTTATAAGCCTGACAAGGTGGGGGGGGAAGAAGTTTCATTTATGACAGGGAAGATATGATGATTACAATAAGGTTCAAGTACAAAATAAATTTAATGCAGTATGTTTTAGATGCCAAAGTTTAGAACTTAGTTATATAAATGATAATAGGTAGTATACTATATCATATTAAGTGATCTGAATTTCCTATTTACATAGGTAAAAATCATATAGCAATCAATCACTACAAACTGACTTATCTTCTGATAATTCCATTTGTCTAAGTTTTGTTAGAGCAAACAGTATGAGATAAATTTGTGATCAGCTGCCAAGGCAGAGGCCGGGGAATGGCAGGGACCCTGGAGACACTGGTGTTGAGATTAGTGTTGCAACACTGTATGATTCTATTATGAAAAGCTTTGTAAGTCACAGGTTTTCTTAATTAAAAATAAATTCAAAATTTTTTTTAAATTAAAAAGATTAACTGGCATGGTTCGATAACGATCACTATGGGTAAGGGCTGGGAAAGTCAGGACACCCAATGATTGTGAATAATAATAATCTACTTACAAAAACCAATGGAACATTGAATCTGGTCATCTCGGTTATGGGAGGGCTCAGAGCAACAAACACATGTCTCTGCCTGCCTGCTCTCCGGCTTCCGGCCACTCAGGTTTCTAGTTCCCTAAAGGAACAAAACTCCGCTCCACACTGTGGCCTTCAAAGACACGAGTGTGCTTTTCCTTCAGCCTGGAAGGTTCTTCAGAGTCCAGTGTCCACCCACCTCAACCCTCAGGTCAACTTTCCTTTCTCAGAAAAGTTGCTAATCAGTATCTATATAGATAACTGAACAGATAACCAACAGAGAGATTATATATTCTTTAATTAAAGGATGTCTAAGCCCATTCCTTTTTTTTTTTGCCTTTATGCATTCTTAGCAATTGTAATTACTTGATAGGCCAACCCCTTTCCACAAACTGAAATATCAAGGAGGAGTGGAAACTAAAAATTACTTTTACTGTTGTACTGGAGAACTCAGTGGGCTGGAGAGCCTGCAGGAGCCTTGGGTTGGAACCCCAGCACTGCATGGTACCCTAACATCACCAGGAAAGACTCCAAGCACTGCGACAAACAGAGTCCCAAAATATAAAAACCAAACCAGGAGACACTTGGCCAGGGTCAGAGGAGAACTCAAAGGGCTGGAGCTCAACCCCTGGTTCCACGTGTCCCATAGGCAGCACCTTATTTGCTAGACCAAGCTTTGAACAGCACATGTGAGTATTACTGAAAGCAGCACAGGGCCTCCCCACCACTTTTCTGGTGATTAACAGCTATAGCCCCAGACCCAGGCCAGGGCTAAGCCCAGACACAAGGAAGGCACTTAAGTATGGTACTAGCTGCAGCACTACCATGACGGCGCCTCCGATTCCTTTCAGAACGGGGATCTTTTTTTTTTTTTATTTTTATTAATCAAACACCATGAGGTACAGCTGTAGACTTACAAATTTTTGTGCTTGGGTTTCAATTATACAATGATCAAGTACCCATCCCTCCACCAGTGCCCACTTTCCACCACCACGGGTCCCAGTATCCCTCCCTCTCTCCATCCCTCCCATCCCACCCTGCCTCTGTGGCAGGGCATTCCCTTTTGTTCTCTCTCTCTCCTTTTGGGTGTTGTGGTTTGCAAAAGAGGCATTGACAGCCTGGGGACCCGTCTGGAAATGGTCTGGGGTTCCCTGGTCCAGCCAGGGTCCATTTATCCAATGAGTCACACAAGCTTCATTATTTTCTATACGGGCTATAATGTGAAAAAGGCCAAGGTTATCAATGATCCTTTGTGTCCTAAATGTGGAAACATCTTTGAATCACTTACCTAATATCTTGTTCTTGGATATATGTTCAAGAACCCATCTCGGGACCCGCTTGGACTGATCGTAAGACAAGGCATGATTAGTGTAACACCTTGTCTCTGTTCCAGCTAAAGGGAATCCAAATTGTTCCAAGACAGCTTTTTCTACAGAACCTAAAAATAAAAAACAGGTGGAGGGACAAAACCAAAATAGCAAATAATGTTAACTTCTAAGAAACAAAAATGCCCCAGATTACTTTCGCCCAAGAGTGAAGGGTGAGCCAAAAAAAAAAAAAAATCAAAGAACTAAAGGGCTGGAGATATAGTACAGTGGGTAAGATACTTGCCTTGCATGTGGCCAATCTGGGTGTGATCCCTGAGCCCTATATGATCCCCGCAAGCCCAGCAGGAGGGTCCAAAAGCACCCCCCAAAATAATCACTGTCACTGTCCTCCCGTTGTTCATCGATTTGCTCGAGCGGGCCCATTAATAGTGAGACTTGTTACTGTGTTTGGCATATTGAATACGTCACGAGTAGCTTGCCAGGCTTTGCCGTGCGGGCGAGATACTCTTGGTAGCTTGCCAGGCTCTCCAAGAGGGGCAGAGGAATCGAACTCGGGTCAACCGTGTCGGCCATGTCGGCCACATGCAAGGCAAATGCCCTACCCGCTGTGCTATTGCTCCAGCCCCCAAAGTAATAATTTAAAAAAAAAATGTTTTTTTTTAAATGACTGAAAAGTCTAATCAACCAGGAAGGTTTTTTTCCCTTTTTTTTTTTTTTTTTGCAATTTTAAGAAAAAAAGAGACAATAGTGGAAACTTTTTTTTTTTTGGTTTGGGTTTTTGGACCACACCTGCCAATGATGAGGGTATAGGAGATACCAGGGATCTATGAGATACAAGGGTCTGATGAGCTTAAGGTCTCAAAGAGAAGTGTTTTGACTACAGTGTGTTGCATAGTTACACCAAGATAAGGCTTCTGCGGGTGGAGAGATAGTACAGTCAGAAGGGCACTTGCCTTTCAGGCAGTTGACTGGGATTCAATCCCTGGCATCCATATGATCCCCTGAGCCCACCAGGAGTGATTCCTGAGTACAGAGGCAGGAGCACCGCCAGGTGTGGCCCAAAAGGAAAAAAACAATAAAGACACAGGGGTCGGAGTGATAGTGTTGGTTTGCTCCTGGACTCCGCATATGGTACCCTGAGCACTGAGCCAGGAATTATCCTGAGCTCTGCCAGGTGTGCCTCCTCACCCAATCCCAGGAGCAACATCAGGAGCTGCTTCATTAACATTTTCTTTGCCACTGCTGAGGTCCCTGGCAGTGACCGCAGCCCCAGAGATGAAGCAGGTAGGCACGGTAAACTGCCGGCCGTCTCCCAGCTCACTAACTTCAGTAAGCGCCAGAATCTTGGCACCGGAGAGGGGAGAAGTGGTTCCAAGGGCTGGAGAGCCCGGGAAGTCCAGGTTCGACCCCCCAGCAATCTCTAGGAAGCACAGAGCTCTCTGATCAGGGAGAAGCCCCCGGGGTACCGGGTGTGCCCCCCCTCAAAAAAAACAAAATTAGATCGCTCGGTCCCTACCCCACCTAGTACCACGCAAAGGCTGCAGCACCCCAAGACGAAGCTCAAGTCGAGCACTGGGCAGGGGTTTTCCTGGGGACGCGTTGGCGCCTGCCTTCCCGCTCCGGACTCACTGGGGCTCAGGTCCGGGAGGGGGAGAGAAACAAGATCAAAAAACACACACACAACAAAGAAATAAAAAAGAGCAAGAGCGATAGTAGAGAGGGGAGAGCGTTTGCCTCGCAGGCGGCCGACCCGGGTTCGACCCCCGGCATCCCAGATGGTCCACCCGTGCACCGCCAGAAGTAATTCCTGAGTGCAGAGCCAGGGGTAAGCCCTGAGCATCGCCGGATCGCCGAGTGTGACCCAAAAAGTTAAAAAAAAAAAAAATTTTTTTTTAAAAGACAGGCACAGTGGCCACCTTTCACCGGGCGGGAGATGCGCGTAAAGCGGCCGCGTCTTCCCCGCCCCGGGAAACCCGGCGAGTGGGTTTCCCGCCCGCCCGCCCAGCCTTAGGGACTCCTGAGGGACATCGTGGGCCCACCGGGCCGGCGTCCAGGCTGGGTCCAGGCCCGGCTCCGAGCGCGGCGAACCCACGCGCCCAAGCGCGGAACGGAGGTTGCGGGCCCGCGGAGGCGGCACACGGACACACGGACGGCGCGACACGCACTCGGGGCACCGACGCTTCCCGCGCTGCCAAACTTACCGTCCGGCGCCGGCTTTGAGCCCCGACTCCGGAGCAGCGGCAGGGCCGCAAGCCCGGCCCCGGCGGCGCCCAGCGCGGCCCCGGCCACGAAGCCGCTCCAGAAGCGCCGCGAGCCTCGGAGGCGGTCGGCGAAACCGCGGGCAGCCATCGGGGCTCAAGCGGCAGGCAGCGCGCGCCCACCCCGGACACCTGCGACCCGCGGCGGAGCCGACGCGCATGCGCTCCCGCAGTCTCCCGGAAGGCCCGCGAGAGCCGCGCGCGCCCCCTGGCGGCCGAGCCCGGACGGACGGCCCCGCGGTACCCGGCTCCTCCCCTCCAGAGTGGGAGCGCTGGAATCACCTTCTTCACCAGGCCGAAGTACTGACCAACCGCCTGGGGGATCTGGGGGGAGGGGGGGGAGTCACTTAGAACAACGGGGCCTCGCCCCGGTCGCATCCCCCTCATGTGAGAAACATCCTACTTGGCAGGAGTATTTAGGGTATCTCTAATATATGTAAATATATAATGTTCTAGTATATAAATACATCATATATGTATATTTTTCATATGTATTTATACCATTTTCCTATGCATAATATATACAATATGTATATATTGTAGCACTGTAGCACTGTCCTCCCAGTTGTTCATCCTTTTGCTCGAGCGGGCACCAGTAACGTCTCCACTGTGACACTTGTTACTGTTTTTGGCATACTGAATACATCGCCAGCAGCTTGCCAGGCTTTGCCGTGCAGGCGAGATACTCTCGGTAGCTTGCCCGGCTCTCAGAGAGAGGCTAGGGAATTGAACCCGGGTCAGTGTGCAAGGCAAAAGTCCCACCTTGTGCTATCATTCCAGCCCACGTATATACTGTATAATATATAAAAATACATTTTAAATATTATAAGTCATCTCAAAAATGCCCCAACTTGGCAGAATTTAGGGTCTGAGAATGCACTCACTCTAATACATGTAGCACTATAGCACTGTCCTCCCGTTGTTCACCGATTTGCTCGAGCAGGCCCAGTAATGCCTCCATAGTGAGACTTATAGTTACTGTGTTTTGGCATATTGGCTACGTCATGGGGAGCTTGCCAGGCTTTGCCGTGGGCCGAGATACTCTCGGTAGTTTGCCGGGCTCTTCGAGAGGGGTGGAAGAATCAAACCCGGGTCGCCCTGGTAAGCTGCATAAGGCAAACGCCCTACCTGCTGTGCTATCACTCCAGCCCCCAATACATGTAAATATATAATATTCTAATATGTAAATATACAGACATATATAATGTATTATATATTGTATAAGTATATATAATATGTATTATATACAATATATGTATTGTGTAATATGGTCACAGAGTATGGCCACAGTCCTCCCGTTGTTCATCGATTTGCTCAAGCGGGCCCAGTAATGTCTCCATCATGAGACTTGTTGTTACTGTGTTTGGCATACCGAATACATCACGGGTAGCTTGCAAGGCTCTGCCGTGCGGGCGAGATACTCTCGGTAGCTTGCCGGGCTCTCTGAGAGGGGCGGAAGAATCGAACTCGGGTCGGCCATGTTGGCCGCTTGTAAGACAAACGCCCTACCGCTGTGCTAATCGCTCCAGCCCATTGTGTAATATATATTATAAAATATGTATTATATGTTACAAATATTAAATATAAACATATCACTGTCACTCCTCTTGTTCATCGATTTGCTCGAGCGGGCCCAATAACATTGTGAGACTTGTTACTGTGTTTGGCATATCAAATAAGTCACGGGTAGCTTGCCAGGCTCTGCCGTGCGGGCGAGATACTCTCGGTAGCTTGCCGGGCTCTCCAAGGGGCAGAGGAATCAAACTCGGGTCGGCCATGTTGGCCACGTGCAAGGCAAACGCCCTACCCGCTGTGCTATTGCTCCAGCCCAAATATAAACATATGTAACACAAATATATATATCATATATAAATTAAAGATAACAGCATCCCTGGGGCTTTCCTGGCGTTTAAAATCTAACAGCATTAAAATCTGTCTACAAAGCAGAGGTCACAGGAGGTGCAGCAAGCATGTCCGGGGACCCTCTAGACCCACAGGAACAAAGAGCTGCCGGAGGGGACCAGTCCTTGTTCATCTCCGATTCCCTCCACGCCCTCCGCCCCGGTGATGAAGACACACAACAGGGTTTTTCATGATTACCATTATTATTTTATTTTCATATACAAAAAGATAAAACTTGAAATAGTTCTAGACTTTTCCTCCTATTCTGATGGGGTGTGGCTGCTTCTTCACACGGGGAAAACTACATTCACATCGGTTTATTTGAGGGCCCAGTGCACAGTTCCAGCAGCAAAACCCCACCTTAGCACATCTAGTTTCAAACTTGACACTCATTTCTAAAATTACCACAGTAAAAAGGAACAAAGATCCACTGCAAATGAATGAACTATGATACAATGTTCTTTCCAAAATGTCTTCATTTTGCAACTGTAATTACATGGGTGTCTGCTTTAGGCCATTTCAGATGTGTGCGTGTCTAATATATATATATGTGTGTATTTTATATATATGTATATATATATCAATCAGCACACTTTTTCAAATTCACACAGGGTAACAGTGACAAACTCAACTCTGTGTGTGTATATATATATTTTTTAAAAAAACATGATACTTTAGTATAACTTTTGTTAATTCAGTAGTACAAGCTATTACTGTTCTACAAAATTGTAATTTTATAGCTACAAGGGTGAAAAGTGACCTATTACATTTACATCTCACATATCCTGGTATACAAACAGTACTCATTGAATCTGAGCCCCAAAATGTCAGTCTTAGTTTCAGCACTTGAAGAGCTTCCTCACTTCTACAGTCTTAAATGGTACACTCGTCACATTTTCAGATTTTGTAATTACTCATCAATTTATACTGCAAGAAACAGAGGAATCCAAACCTTTAATTACAAGTTTTATATACAAATTAGACAACAGCTCAATATGACGCTTACCCGTCCTAAGCCTTTCTCACATACTCTCGACTAGGTCAGGCAAGTCTTAGGATTTCCCTTCTTTTCCTTGTAATAAGTCATGTACCAATTTTTAAGTCACTGGTAAAGCTGATAGACTCAGTGACAACTGACAGGTGACATTTTCAGTTGGTTCTAAAATTTGTTCTGCAAATTATATACTCTGCTGTGTTCTTTATGTCTGTGACATGCAGAAAGCTCTTTTCAACAAGAATGGACATCAAACTCAACGAAAGCCAACTTTACAGTACTGTATAGTTATTCAGATTCAAGGACAAATGTGGAAAAATATTCAACAGGTGAAAAATTCGGCCTCAGACGCTATCATTAAGGTGATTTCAAAGTCACAAGCAGATTCTTTTGTACAGTTGAAAATGTCATTGTGTGGATTTGTGGTATGGAACTGAACTCTAGAAGTATGTTTCTATTCTGCGGTAACCCTCACCCTCAATTCTCAAGTACCACTCAATTTTCTTTGCATTTTTTACAGAATTCGGGGGTGGGGGTAAAAGGGGGCTTGAGAGCCACTGGCATTAACAAATCCTCCATTCACAGAAAATCCGAACACTTTCCAATGAGATCACCGAACAATCTTTGTGATCAGTGGCTCTCAGACAGCCTTAAACCATCATCTGGACACTTTCTTAGACCCCAGATGTCACCTAATCTTTCCTATCCTCATCACTATCATGCTGGTAAAATTTGGATGAGTGAATTTTTCCCAAATGGAGAAATTATTTGGCTAAATGTATACTTAACTTGTGGCAGTGCTCTGAGAAAAACACCACATGGGCTAAAGCACTTGCACGGACTGAAGCCATAGTTCACTGAATGGGGCAGAGACCAGACACTTCAAGAGCTGGGTGAAGTCTCATTTCCCACACTAACCTTGGTGTCCCGTGACAGCCCATGATCATCTGACTGAGTTACCACTTTTCATCTTGGTCTGTCATTCATGCCCCAGAGACAAAAATTCAAATGTGGTAACTGCTGGTTAATTAAACTTTTTGAACTGGTAAAAAAAGGTTCTTTAAAAAATATATATATATATTTAAAATTCATCAAAATGACAAACAGCCATATTCCACAAGGCCTAATTTCACAGCAACATATGCTTAGACAAACCTTCCCAAAATGCACTGTGGTGGATGACGGTTTTTGTAATCCTGCCATTGAAAGGAATGTTCTACACTTGCGCTTTAGCAACTGGAAGTGAGCTAATGAAGAAAGAGCTCATCTTTGGAACTAATTTGTGTACAAGAACAACCAATTGAAATCACTTTGCCTGATCAAACATGAGAATACTGAAAATGGCAGAATGCTAAGAGAAGCACAGGAAGCACCTTTCGGCTAACGCTCAAGACCCCTCCCACCACAGCACGGGGCAGGGGGGAAGGGGAGCACGGGGCGCTTGCCAGAAACCCCCCTTTCTGTCCTTGGGAAGAGTTTTTGTTTTCAAACAAAACAGTGCCCACCAGTGGCAGGGCTTCTGTGTGTGTGTGTTGCTTGCCCGCAGTACCAAGAGGACCCAGATGGTGACAGTGTTGAACAGGAGGTCTGAGGTAACTGTGGTTAGTAAGCTACCTGGAGCATAGGACCCTGCATCCAGGAATTACAGCTGGGACAAAGAAAACGTTGGGGCGGGGGCTGGGGGTGGGGAGGGGGGCCTGGGGTAGATAAGACAATTATGAAAAAGCTTACAGCAGTTGCTTTTGGGGAGGCAGGTGACAAAAACAAAGGCACAACAGAATTACATTCCAAGACAGGTGGCTGGAACGCAGGGAAATGCTCTCTTATGGGGAATGGGGAAGAAAGGGAACAGTGGGTCGAGTTCCAGGGCGCTACTGGATCGGCAGAAACTAAGTTTATTCCAAGTTGAAAAGGAGTCAAGTATGAAAGTTCAAACCAGAATCAATAAAAAGCACAACTGGCTTTGCATGACACATTCCAGATTCTCCTGACCAAGCTGCCCCCACACATGGGTGTCAACAGCCCTCAGCCAGCAGGCAGGCCCTGGACACCGGCCTGAGAACTACAATGATACCAAGAGTCGGCTTTATTTTCCACCCTCCTTATGTCCCCACCAAAAACAGCTCGACCAAATAACTACCTGTTCTCTACCCCCAAATCAACAGGCTTACATGAAGAACGCGCTCCATGCCACGGCAGGGACACTGCAGGGAAGGTGGGTGCATCATGTGGACGTGTGAAAGGTGCCCG